ACGGCGCCAAAAACTTGACTCGCTAAAATACAACACCAAACTGCGACCAAGTGTAATCGCAGTCCGGAAATGCAGTAAAGTGGCAAGTTGTAACATCCCGACTTTTTGGTTTAGGTTCGACTATAATAAGTGAATGGTTGGATCGTCTGTTACGTACAAAAAACAAAATCAAATCAAACCAAACCAAACCAAACCAAACCAAACCGGGTCACGGACCAAGGCCTAAATTACACATGTATGGCTTGATGGATTTCAATTGTGGGCCACGTTTGGGGATAAAGAAAAGAAGAGGGTTAGCTCATGGAAATTGATCATAATTAAGCCTAATTAACCGTGATGTAACCTGGTCGCACGTTACCTTTGGGAACTCGTTGATCTCCACCTCTTGTGCTTTTATCTCCTCGGAGAAAACCCAAAAAGGGAGCAGCCACAAAAAAAATAACACAACCCTTAATTATTTTCCCAGCGCCACCCCTCCCCAAAAACCCCACACATGGTTTTCCCCCAAACCCCATCGCTTTTCCCCATTGCCGCGCAGAGGAAATAAAAGAATAGAGGCAGCCAACTACTCTCCTCGTCCCTCTCTTCCCCTTTATTGCAAGCAGCGGTGGTAATTAACCTCATAGCTGTATGATAAAGGGGTGAGGCGAGGGACACATGGAGCCACTGGAAAGTTATGGTGCGATGAAAATACGGAAGTTGCCTCAAAGAGAAGAAACGTTGAAGTGGTTGAGTAGTTTGGGGATTTACATGGGTCATTCGCTTGTACGTGGAAGGTTGGGTGATGGAAAATTAATTGATAATAATCAATGAGGGAATGTTCCATGGCACAATTACAGGCGAAGTGTTCTAGGTAAGGGTTTCGACTACTTTGGAGTTATTTATGACTTTGATTGACTTCTTAGTGAATTGCGCATGGCATTAGGGAATTAAATGAACTAAGTTCATCATCATTTTATGAAGGGTAACATTATTTGTAAGGAAAGGATAAGGTCCTTAATGCATGGTGCAACTCAGTAGCTCTAGATACGTGTGATTGGGGTCCGAAAATTGAGGATGTTATGTGGGTGCCTACTCTGCTCACAATTGGATATGTGTACGGTTAAAGGAAGAGATACAGCAACAGCTCGGCTTGACCATTTGACTGGGGATGGTAAGCCACCGACACCTGATGCTTAACACCATAGCGAGAGAGGAGCTTAGTGAATTGCCCTTGAAAATGAGTTTTTCTATCACTAATGATGGTGCAAGGTGTCCCGAACTGCGAGAACAGCTGCTTCAGAAATGAGCAGACCCGTCTTGCATCATTAGTGGGCATGGCTTGAGCTTCTGCCCACCTCGAGACGTAGTCCACTGCAACCAGTATGTAGAAATTGCCAAAGGATGGAGGGAATGGACCCATGAAATCGATGCCCCAAACATAAAAAATTTCACAAACGACATAAAATATGTTTGGGCATCTCATCCCGGGAAGAAATGTTACCTGACATTTGGCAGCGGTCGAACTATCGTGCGAAGCTGTCTGCATCCTTGAAGAGTGAGGGCCAATAGAAGCCCGACTGTAGCACCTTCCGTGCCGTGCGGTTTCCTCCATGGTGACCTCCAGTAGGTCCCTCGTGGCATTGAGACAGGATGTCTTCCATGGTGCCTCAAATGCATACACCACAGCGAGGAGCTCCTTCTCAGTGGTTGTGTAATTCTCCTATGCATCGTTCAAGGTCTTCGACGCGTAGTAGATGGGCTGGAAGTGCTTCATGCGTCTCTGACCCAGAACTGCTCCGACTGCATAGTCACTCGCATCGCACATCAGCTCAAAAGGAAGAGACCAGTCCGGAGTCACCATGATGGGTGTATGGGTAAGCTTCTCCTTCAATGTCTAGAATGCAGCCGTGCACTCATGAGTGAACTGGAATGGTGCATCCTTCTCCAGCAGCTTGGTTAGAGGCAGGGCAATCTTTGAGAAATCTTTAATAAACCTCCTGTAGAAACCCGTGTGGCCCACAAAGCTGTGGATCCCCTTCATAGAAATGGGAGGAGGTAGCTTACTGATCGTCTCTATCTTTGTGTGATCTACCTCAACCCCTTGCTTGGAGATCTTGTGCCCAAGCACAATGCCCTCATAAACCATAAAATGGCACTTCTACCAGCTGAGTGCCAGATTAGTCTCCTCGTACCTCTTCAGAACGAGTTCTAGGTTATGGAGATAGTGAGTGAAGGAGTCTCCATAAACCGAGAAGTCATTCATGAAGACTTCCATGATCTCTCCAATCAGTCGGTCGAAGATTGCCAGCATACATTTCTGGAAGGTAGCCGGTGCATTACATAACCGAATGGAATCCTCCGCTAAGCAAAGGTACCGAAGGGGCAAGTGAATGTGGTATTTGCCTAATCCTCTGGCACGATAGGAATCTGGAAATAACCAGACATGCCATCCAAGAAGCAATAAAACTCATGGTCAACCAACCTCTCCAGCATCTGACCAATGAAAGGTAGGGGAAAATGGTCCTTCTTGGTGGCGTCGTTCATGCGCATGTAATCGATGCACACTCTCCAGCCGGTCACGATCCGCATCGGGATCATCTCGTTCTTCTCGTTCGGGGCTGACATACTTGCTATCAGATATATCAAACATGATCCATGCATCCATTAACTTCACAATCTCTACCCAGACCACTGCCTCCAAGTTAGGAGAAAATCTTCGTTGTGGCTGCCTGACTGCTTAACCTCATCCTTCATTAGAATTCTGTGGTAGCAGAAGGATGGGCTAATGCCTCTAATATCTGTTATCTTCCACGCCATGGCCGGGGCATACTTCTACAACAGAGTCACCAGCCTGTTCTTCTGCTCGGGTGTCATATCCGAGCTGATAATGACCAGGTGAGAGCGGTGGGGCTTAAGCTCCGATTCCGGTGGCTCCTCCAATGATGTGGCAATCTGGGGCGAGATAGGGATCAACTTAAATGGTTTCTCTCGTCCGTCGATCGCAGCCTCGTCTAGCTCCGCGAGCTGCTCCTTCAGCTGCAACTCTTGCGATGCCTATTCCCCTAGCAAAAGACAACGCTCGAGGAAATCGTTAGTACCCACACTCGTGATGGCGAGTGCGGTCTCAAAATTAGCAATAATATCGCAGTAGTCTAGAACACCATGGAGCTGGGGGTGTTTTATATTATCAGAAACAGAGAAGGTGATTTGTTCACCCCTAGCCCTCAAAATCAACTTCTCATCATTCACATCAATAAGTGCCTTGGCGGTGGCGAGAAAAGTTCTACCCAGTATTAGAGGCACATCCACATCCTCATTTATATCAAGAATCACAAAATCAACAGGATATGAGAATGGCCCTACTGCGACTATCAAGTCCTCTACAATGCCCCTAGGATGCACAATGGATCTATCAGCAAGTTGAATTCTCATCCTAGTATTACTGGGTTCACCTAGGCCTAGTTTTTTAAACATTTTATATGGCATGACATTTATGCTAGCGCCTAAATGCACCAAGGACTTTCCTATATGCAAACTACCAATCATTCAAGGGATAGTAAAACTCCCTGGGTCTTTGCGCTTTTCTGGTAGTTTGTTCTGCAGGATGGCAGAACACTCCTCGTTGAGCATCACCGTTGACAGCTTCCCAAGCTTCCTCTTGTTGGTGAGGAGATCCTTCATGAACTTAGCATACTTGGGCATCTTCGATAATGCCTCCATGATGGGCATATGATGTTCACCTGCTTCAGCATTGCCACGAACTTGGCAAACTCAGTCTCTAGTCGGTCTTTGTGTAACCGAGTAGGAAAGGGAAGTTGCGGTACATAATCCTTCACCACTGGTTGTAGATTAGCAGCAGTCACCTTGCCACTCCTGGTAGTAATGGCCTTGCAGTGCTCATTTGGGTCCTGCAGATGAGGAATGGTCTGCCCAAATAAAGTACCAGGAGTCCTCTGTGCCATAGCGTGCTTGTTTCTCTGGCCAGCTTCAAGCTCCATGAATTTACCAGAGGCTTCCTCCATGAATTTCTCAATATTACTGAACTTATTTGGACTGGTGGTGGCTAGAGAACCCACTAGATCCCGCAAATCGGCCATCGGATCACTCTATACTGGGGCTGCGGGGGCTGCACCTAACTGCTGAAATGGTCGCACCTGTGACTGAAGGGGAACTGGCCCCTGTCTGGGCGGGTAGAGAGGCTACTGCTGCTGAAATTGCCATTGTCTGGGCTGGTAAGGAGGCCTCTGAAAGCCTGATGGTCCCTAGGAGACTGGTGGTCTAGTATTGGTCCCACCCCAGAAGTTGGGATGCTGGCGCCATCCCTCGTTGTAAGTGTTGCTGTAGGGGGTCGAAACGCCTGGCGTTTCCGATGAAGTCCACCTGCTCCTGGGGAGTAGTCGACTCCCTCATTGCCTGACAGTCCAACATAGTGTGATGGGAGCTTTCACACCACTAGCAGTCCATCGCCTGCTGTTGTCCTGTACCTAGGATCATTCCAGAACGATCGATGGCTGAAACTAGTTTAGATACCACCTGCACCAACTCAGACGACGGGGTGGCCACAGCATGCACACCCCGACCTGGTGCTCATCTCGGTCTCCTATAAGTTCCCCAATCATATCCCTACTTTGCCATCTCTTCAAAAAGTCGATTCAGCTGCGGCGGGGTCTTTGTCAGCATATTCCCGCCGCAAACCGAGTCGATCAGCTGCTTGTCTTCTGGGAAGAGGGCATGGTAGAAGGTGCCCACCTTGAAGGTGTCAGTAAAACCATGGTTGGGACACTTGAGGAAAATACTGGTGTATCTTTCCCAAGCATCCCGAATGGTCTCATCTTCATCCTGGGCAAAGTGGGTGATCTGCTTCTGCAGGTCCGCCATCTTCGACGGAGGATGGTAGCGAGTGAGGAACTTGTCCGCCAAGTTGGCGAACATGGTGATCGAGCCTGGAGGTTGAATGTCCAGTCACTCCTTGGCTTGCCCCTCCAAAGTAAATGGGAAGTACCTCAGCTGGATGGCATCGACTGGGATCCCATTTATCTTGATCCTATCGATGAGCTCGTGGAATCGCCTCAGGTGTGATCTGGGTCACTCCCCCTCCTTGCCATGGAATACCACCGAGCCGCGCAGCATGGTGATGTCAGAGGTGCTCACCTCAAAGTTATTTGCTGGAACTTGAGGGTGCTGGATGGGCAACCTAATGTCTGCGGCTCTGGCGGTCCAGTAATACCCCGTGGTGTGCTCATCGGGGACAACCACGTCATTGTTGTGAGGATCACCCATGTCTTCCTGCTTGGTGATTTGCAGTTGTGCTAGAGCCTCCTCCGCAGCCAGTCGCGCCTTTAAAGCCCGCTTGAAGTTCCTGCAAGTCCGTTCAAGCACTTGGTCTAGTGACAGTAAGTCTCCCGACTGGCTACGAGTCATGCACTACCTACACACAGAATGCAAACATAACCTCTGAAGGCACAAAGGTGGAAGAGAGAAAATACAGTACGAAAAAGCTAGAGTAACAAACTTTCACATTTCCACATTAACCATGAAGTATCCCCGGCAACGACGCCAAAAACTTGACACGCTAAAACACAACACCAAACTGCGACCAAGCGCAATCGCAGTCCGGAAAAGCAGAATAGTTGCAAGTTCTATTTGTCAACCCGGGGTCTAGATCTACTGCCTACTCCGTGATTATCTATTATCTAGCAAACTAAGTCAAGTGATTGGGATTTTAAGTAGAAGCAGTAAGAAAGCAGGAAATGGTTCAAAGTTCTTTAGCAAAGGAAGAGTCACTCGGGAATGAGTCCCCCTAGCTCCTTAGTTAGGTCAAGGTTGTAATTAACCTGGGTTGATTAACTGTTGATTTAACTACGGAAGATCCGACAGTAGCTTGGATTCTCTTAAGCTGACCAAGCCCTCTCAGGCAGACTAACCGGCAGGCGACTAGCCTTCACCGGGATAGACTGTTGAGGCAATAAACGTAGAACTCCACTACTAGAATCGCACACTAGTACAAAGAAGTAAATCGATTAACTCTCGTATAACCAATCTACCACTACCGATTGATGAAGCTCTAATAACCTAATCAGATTCTATCTATCTTAGGTTGCAGCAGAAATCAAGAAAATTTGATCAAGCTTCAATTGACTCAATGAATCATGCATCAATCGATTAAAATCAAACAGTATATCAATCCAAATTCATTACAATGAAGATTCCTAACACATAGAACTAGGGTTCTTCATACCCAAGTGAGAGAGGGTTCTACTCCATAGAGAGAGAGGAAAATAGAAATCAGAGCAGTCATACTCATAAAGATGGGGATAATCTGCTATGGGATGTCAATCTTCACTCCTGGGGATACAATTTGGGCTTCAATGGTGAGAAATCTACTCCAAATAGCTCCTAGGGTTTGTTCTTCGCACTTTCTCTCTCTAAAACTCTATTTTTTGCTCAAAAACTCAATTCCCGCTCCTGACTTGAATCTGCCTCAAAAGCCCGATTATGGGCAAAACACGATCGAGGACACGACTGTCTTTTTCTTTTGCTCGTCCGTGTTCTCGCCACGTGTTAAAAACACGCCCGTGCCGGCCTAAAACACGGTCGTGCCCACTTATTGACACGGTCGTGTTTTACTCCAGTGGTGCCCGTGTTTTGGTCTTCTCAGCAGCCTCCAAAAACACACTCTCGGCATGAAAAGCACGGTCTGAGACACGACCGTGTTTTTGTTTAGTGCAACCCATGTTTTGACCTCAGCTCGACCGAATGACCTCCAAAAGCCTCGAAACTCATTACTAGCCTTCCCTTCGACGTCTGGGACCTGAAATGTGACAAAGTAGCACAACCCATCGTAAAATAGACCAAAAATGCACGACAACAAACCGCAAACAGATAAGAACTAAGGGTGCAAAAAGACTATTGAGGCAATAAACGCAGAACTTCACTACTAGAATTGGACACCAGTACAAAGCAGTAAATCGATTAACTCTCGTATAACCAATCTACAACTACCGAATGATCAAGCTCTAACAACCTAATCATATTATATCTATCTTAGGTTGCAGCAGAAATCAAGAAAAGATGTTCAGGCTTCAATTAACTCAATGAATCATGCATCAATCGATTAAAATCAAACAGTATATCAATCCAAAGTCATAAATCAAGATTCCTAACACAAGGAACTAGGGTTCTTCATACCCAAGTAAGAGAGGGTTCTACTCCATTGAGAGAGAAAGAGGAAAACAGAAATCAGAGCAGTCATACTCATAAAGATGGGGATAATCTGCTCTAGGATGTCGATCTTCACTCCTGGGGATGCAATCTGGGTTTCAATGGTGATAAATCCACTGCAAATAGCTCTTAGGGTTTGTTCTTTGCACTTTCTCTCTCTAAAACTCTGTTTTTCGCTCAAAAACTCGATTCCCTCTCCTTTGGTTTGAATCTGCCTCAAAAGCCCGATTCTTGGCAAAACACGATCGAGGACACGACAGTGTTTTTCTTTTGCCCGTCCATGTTCTCGCCACTTTTTAAAAACACGCCCACGTCGTCCTATAACACGGTCGTGCCCACTTATTGACACATCCGTGTTTTACTCCAGTGGTGCCCGTGGTTTGGTCCTCTCAGCAGTCTCCAAAAACACACTCTCGGCATGAAAAGCACGGTCTGAGACACGACCGTGTTTTTCTTTAGTGCAACCCATGTTTTGACCTCAGCTCGACCGAATGACCTCCAAAAGCCCCGAAACTCGTGCCTAGCCTTCCCTTCGATGTCTGGGATGTGAAATGTGACAAAGTAGCACAACCCATCGTAAAATCGACCAAAAATGCATGACTACGAGCCGCAAATGGATAAGAACTAGGGGTGCAAAAATGTGCAAATACACCATTATCATACACCCTCTATTTCGGGATAGACTGTTGAGGCAATAAACGCAGAACTTCACTACTGGAATTGCACATCAGGTACAAAGCATTAAATCAACTAACTCTCGTATAACCAATCTACAACTACCGATTGATGAACCTCTAACAACCTAATCAGATTCTATCTATCTTAGGTTGCAGCAGAAATCAAGAAAAGATGTTCAGGCTTCAATTAACTCAATGAATCATGCATCAATCGATTAAAATCAAACAGTATATCAATCCAAAGTCATTAATCAAGATTCCTAACACATGGAACTAGGGTTCTTCATACCCAAGTAAGAGAGGGTTCTACTCCATAGAGAGAGAGAGAGAGAGAGGAAAACAGAAATCAAAGCAGTCATACTCATAAAGATGGGGATAATCTGTTCTGGGATGTTGATCTTCACTCCTGGGGATGCAATATGGGCTTCAATGGTGATAAATCCACTCCAAATAGCTCTTAGGGTTTTTTCTTCGCACTTTCTCTCTCTAAAACTCTGTTTTTTGCTCAAAAACTCGATTCCCTGTCCTTTGGTTTGAATCTGCCTCAAAAGCCCGATTCTTGGCAACACATGATCGAGGACACGACCGTGTTTTTCTTTTGCCCGTCCGTGATCTTGCCACTTTTTGAAAACACGCTTGCGTCGTCCTAAAACACGGTCATGCCCACTTATTGACACATCCGTGTTTTACTCTAGTGGTGCCCGTGGTTTGGTGTTCTCAGCAGTCTCCAAAAACACACTCTCGGCATGAAAAGTACGGTCTGAGACACGACCGTGTTTTTCTTTAGTGCAGCCCATGTTTTGACCTTAGCTCGACCGAATGACCTCCAAAAGCCTCGAAACTCGTGCCTAGCCTTCCCTTCGATGTCTGCGACCTGAAATGTGACAAAGTAGCACAACCCATCGTAAAATTGGCCAAAATTGCACGACTACGAGCCGCACGACTACGAGCCGCAAACGGATAAGAACTACGGGTGCATAAATTTGCAAATACACCATTATCATACACCCTCTATTTCGGGATAGACTGTTGAGGCAATAAACGCAGAACTTCACTACTGGAATTGGACACCAGTACAAAGCAGTAAATCGATTAACTCTCGTATAACCAATCTACAACTACCTATCGACGAAGCTCTAACAACTTAATCAAATTCTATCTATCTTAGGTTGCAGCAGAAATCAAGAAAAGATGTTCAGGCTTCAATTAACTCAATGAATCATGCATCAATCGATTAAAATCAAACAGTATATCAATCCAAAGTCATTAATCAAGATTCCTAACACATGGAACTAGGGTTCTTCATACCCAAGTAAGAGAGGGTTCTACTCCATAGAGAGACAGAGAGAGAGAGAGGAAAACAGAAATCAAAGCAGTCATACTCATAAAGATGGGGATAATCTACTATGGGATGTCGATCATCACTCCTGGGGATGCAATCTGGGCTTCAATGGTGAGAAATCCACTCCAAATAGCCCTTAGGGTTTGTTCTTCGCACTTTCTCTCTCTAAAATTCTGTTTTTTGCTCAAAAACTTGATTCCCTCTTGTTTGGTTTGAATCTACCTCAAAAGCCCGATTCTTGGCAAAACACGATCGAGGACACGACCGTGTTTTTCTTTTGCTCGTCCGTGTTCTCGCCACGTGTTAAAAACACTCCCGCGTCGGCCTAAAACACGGTCGTGCCCACTTATTGACACAGCCGTGTTTTACTCCAGTGGTGCCCGTGGTTTGGTCTTCTCAGCAGTCTCCAAAAACATACTCTCGGCATGAAAATCAGGGTCTAAGACACGATGGTGTTTTTCTTTAGTGCAACCCATGTTTTGACCGCAGCTCAATCGAATGACCTCCAAAAGCCCCGAAACTCGTGCCTAGCCTTCCCTTAGATGTCTGGGACCTGAAATGTGACAAAGTAGCACAACCCATCGTAAAATTGGCCAAAAATGCATGACTACGAGCCGCAAACGGATAAGAACTAAGGTTGAAAAAATGTGCAAATACACCATTATCATACACCCTCTATTTATAGAGGTCACAAAAACATTAAACTAATCTAAAAGGAATAGGAAAACAAATCCCAAACTAACTAGGAAACCTAATACTACTTAAATAAGGACTATAGCCCTTTTTTATAACCAAAGGAAGCTCCTTAGCAGCTAAGTAATCTCCAAACACGTTTTAATGCTTAAGGAAGCTCCTTAGTGGTTAAGCAATGTCTTTCCTTGTCCTTTTCATACTTGGACGATTTGGGTAGCAATGATGGACGTTTTGGGCTCCAAGAAATGTTGTAGGTCGGATCCTTAATGCATTCTCCATTTTCTCCATCAAGAATGCTCCCAGTTGATACTTAAATCATTGAATTCAAACCTTCATTTTGGGACCACGAGAATTGAATATCGCGCTAGTCGATATCGCATCATTCCCTCTCTCTTGAAGAAGATTCAACCTCGATTCTTTGTAGAATCTTGATCGCTCATCAGCCCTCATCTTCTTTGTCTTTGAACTAAATTGACTTGGCAGAGATGATTGTATCACTTATATTGAAGAGCAACATAGAGCAAATGGTATGTGGAATTCCATCTAGTTGGACAATCAAGTACCAATTTTTTTCTCAAAGGTCAACTTTAGTTACTTAACAACTTCGAACAAGGTTTGAACCCTCTTAGGTGTATAATTCCAGTGAACTACATTCTCCATAATCTAATGGATAGCATCCTTGATTGCATCCAAACCATCCCTCACAATCAAGTTCAGAATATGAATTCAACACCTCATATGAATCAGTTTACCATCAAGCAACAGATCACTGCTCACAAGCTTATTTCTCATATGAAATATTGAATCATTGGTGGTAAAGTTGTCCAATGTGATTGAGGACAAATTACCATCAATGTTTCAATCAAGAAGAAAATCAAACAACCTATCAGCTAGTCTTTGACTAGTGTGAGGGGCTAGAACATACATAAACCTCAACATTATGTTATGAAGCTTCCAAGAGTTGTTAATAAAGTGACCAGTTACTGCCATATACCCCATTTTCTGATTTGTGGCAGTCCATAAATCAGTAGTCACTGAAATCCTCCACAAATTACCATCAATCATGGTCTTATATTTAGACCTTCCAACCCCATATAGACCCAGAATATCCTTTATGACAGTATTTCTACTAGGGACAGGAAATTGAGGTTGAAGAGAACAACAAAAATGTTTGAAACCCACATGATCAACAAGGCTAAGGGGTACTCATTGACCAGAATCATCGAACAAAGTTCCTTCATAGAAACCTCATAATTGTATTGAGAAGCAGAGAGTTGAGGATATCCATTGGTTGATAGTTGGGGCCAATATTTTTTTAGAACCATCGTGTATCCTCTTCTGGATACATGTTTTGATATGGTTTCTCAGGTGTGAAGTTCCATTACTTGTTTTCCCACCAAGGGGTTTACGACAATACTTACACCTAGCTTTCATTATCCCATTAATCATAACACTATGGAAGTGAGGCCACACATTAGAGGTTAACTTACGTTGTGCTTCTAGTTCTTCCTCATTACCATTAACCAGATTATTGGCAAGGGGAGCAGGTTGTTCGGGTTGGACACCATTTGCAGGGACATTGTCATTACGAACAAGAACCACATTCATTGGGTTTGCACCTTCCATTTGAATAAAATCAAGTTATTTGAATACTTATTAGTTAACGGTCTGTAGTTTTACTTACTATAGTATAGTTATAGTGTTCAACAGTTTTACATTGAGAAGACACGCAAAACCACTTAGCATTACCATTACCATTTCAAAACAGGTTACATATTTATGAATCTGACCTAGTAAGTCTAACTTTTTCTTACGATAAATAAGTAAAGAGTCACAGCAACTCAGCAAGTTACACAACTATGCAAGCAAGATATCAAGGTTATGAAAGGAGAAGTGGATTACCTACCTTAAGATTATTTGTAGTTTGTAGATTGTTGACTGTATTTGGTCAGTGATTTGCAGTCCTTGAGGATCTACTCCAAAGTTCGCTAGAGACACCAAAAACAAGTGGACAAGAACAAACAACAAGAACAAAATTTAGTTAGAACTCTCCATCCATGCATGTCTCTTCAAACACCACTAAACCAAAAAAAAAACAACACCAAGACCCTAGAGAAATTACCTTCTGAACAACTTAACGAGTCTTGTGAAGAATGTCGAGCACGCAGTCGTTAGTCGACTAGTCCCTTGATCTTCAATCCTCCAAGATCGAATTAAACCAAGTCTATAAAAACTAAAAAAAACAAATGAACAACATACAAAACTAGTTAGTACTATGCATGCATGTCTATATTGGCACCACGAACGCAGAAAAAAGAACACAAGAAATCAAGACCTTACCCAGAAGAACTTGGTCTGATGGTCTCGACTCTCGTCTCTACCTCTCTGTCTCAGCTCTCTAGAGACTAAGGTGTTCTGATGACTCGCACGAAACTACACCACAATTAAACCCCAATTAGATCAAGTTTTAAAACTCTAATCGGGTGTAGTATATGGCAAGTATCTATATATCGACCCAGGCTAGTCCGTCTACCCTTAATTCGGTTGTTGGAATCATTATCTAGCGATAAAACTTTGGTTTAAAGGTTTCCCAATTGAAATGAAAGAAAACAAAGGTACTTTGGTTTGAAAACTCTTTTGTGGGAAAGTCACTTGGGTTTCGCTTCTCCCTTAACCGCTACTATGCTACGTGGGTTGGAATGATTGCCTTGGGCACATTAATCGTGAACCGCAGAGGAAAGTTTATGTGGTCGAAGACCACAATCTCGATTGCTAAACCAAGGTGAGGATGAAAGGTCGTGTCACTCGACCTTCTTGGTTTAGACAATCGAAAATCGGCTTACTTCCTCACTCAAATCTAGGTCGGACGGTTTAACCACGATTAATCGACTTGTTCAATTCAATATTGAGGATTGCCCTAACTCAACCTAGTTTAGGTGGCTTCGAAAGCGGAAGGAAAACCAACTCGATTTAGTCTCCCTTAAAAAGGGGGATTTTTCACTCTAAACTAGGCTAAGTTGACAAGTTAGATTACTAGCACCTAAATGCACAAACTTAGGGGTGCTAAGCACAATTATGCACAATCCCTAGGATGCTAAGCACAAAATATGCACAACCCCTAAGTTTCTAATCACAAGCATGCAAAATCATCATGAAAAATACCTCAAACATTAAATTGAACAATACCTAATATCAATCATCCAAACCACATACGGAAAACTACATTGTAGGGTTTATGGTTTCACTACACCCAAGTGGGAGGAGGACTACTCCATGGAAGAAGTGGGAAGAACAAAGGAGAAAAGGTGGGAACCATCTTTTGGGGATGCCTCCTCTCTTCTTCAACCTTGAGCTTGGATTTCCTTAGGGAAATCTTCCCAAAACCTCCTTTGAAGCCAAGCCCTAACCTCTTCTTCTCTTTTGGTTTTGTTTCTCTCACTAAAATGCAGAAGAAGTGTTTCTCTCACAAAAGTGAATCCCTCTCTTCTTTCCTTGCAGCTCAGCTTTTAAACTCGAGAAGAGCTGAGTTCACGGCCTGAGTTCTTAGCCATGAACCATCAAACGCGTCGGTGAACTCACACCTTGCGTGAAAATGCTCCACATCGATCACGGCAGTTCACGGGCTACTACTTGTAATCACGATCTCAGTGACCGTGAACTTGCCTTGCGTCAGTAACCTTCAACTTGGCTTTGGACACCTTGCGCTTCACGGTCAACTCCCCTTCTTCACGGTCTTGCCTGACCGTGAACTCCTGTCTTTAGCCGTGAACTTGCATTTTTCACCTCTTCTCTCGATCTTCGATCCTTTTCGCCAATCCTTTGACTCCGAGGCTCGTTCCACCTGTTAAATCCTGAAAAGCACTCAAACACGAAGAACCTTGCTTAAAACAACCTATAATGAGCGAATTTGGCCTAAATATCTAAGCAAACCGGGGGCAAAATATGTGCAATTAGGCCCGAATCACTCCCCCACCCTTAGACGTTTGCTTGTCCCCAAGCAAACCATTTCACGCACACGGTAATATTTCAACCTACAGAAATGCTTTGGGGACAACTCAAAGGACACGAAGCGGGAATTTTTTATGTTTATTGACAATTAACACATGAAACGTTGCAAGCAATACCGACATCCACCACAAACGACATTCAAAGCCACCAAAACGGGCAAACGAAAAGTTCTCAACTTATTCATGGATAAATGAAAGTCTCAACAAAACCACTTATCGACCACAACCAACCACGCATGGAATTCAAGTCCGAGGAACAAATGGAAAGGCAACAAAGGTCGTCACCGGGGTATGATATGACATGCAAAGCAAGAATTAATCGCTCACTATCAAGACCAGTGGGGTTGGGACCTTTTTGGTGCAAAAGATGTGCACAATCGTAACCACTCAGCCCTATCGTCTCAATACTACAGTGGTAACCTCTAAATGCTAGAGTTCACGGGATGGTTGTCACTAGTAGCTCGTCCGGAGGTCTTAGACACGGGTTCAGATGACTGGTGATTGGCTTGGACATGGGGAAAAGGCTTTTTGGGTGGTGGCAATTCTACATCTTCAACCTAAACCCGAAGGGTCCATGGTTTTGAGTAAAACCCTTCTCTTCAATCAAAGGCCACTAGCATCGGCCAAAACCCTTATCTATCCCTTCCAACTATCACCAATCATGAACTACCTTGAAGCACTCTTCCTCGGTCAACTCTTGCTAGTTCTTTAAGGTTTGGTAGTGAAGGAGTTCTAAAAAATGTGGGGGTTTCGTTGGCTTGGGTGCCAAGAAACCCCCTTCCTAGAGCATGTACTTTGGTTTTTCATGGCACTCTCTACTTTATTTACCCCATTTTATTACTTCCTTTTCGTTTCCCTTTTCTTTCTCTTTTTTTTTTCTTTTCTTTTTGAGGGAGGTATTAGAGAGTAAAAACACTTGCCACCTAAAAATTTATCGACCAATGCTCTCTTTTTTGAGTAAATAACTCCAACACTACACTCCACTTTGCACTCCTAGCAAGAACCACAAATGAACATCCTATGTAGAACCTCTATGGAAACTCAACAGTAAGAGTTCCGGGACACACGGGAGACTCATTTTTAGAACGAAGAAAGGATTTGGGGGTCGTTCTACTAACACCTTTAAGCTCACACGAACAAACCTCCTAACCTGAGAACGAGCCATGGAGTCACATGGCTCAAAGGGGTTGACTAAGGAATGATGCATCTCGGGACAATCAACTTTTGGGGCGTGGACTAATCCTATGCCTCCATCATACTTGCTAGTGATAACTTGTGATGCTACACACCGTGGTAAGAGGGAACTATAAACCGAAAGAAACAAACGGCTCAAAGCTCACAGACTACCTAGTTACCCAACCATCTATTCCCATTCACAAACACAATGCATGGGAATTGTAAACAACAAGTGATCAAGTCAAGACCTTCATTCATTTATGCAAACTTTGAGAACTAAACTCTTGCCCTATCCTAATGAACTTCTCAGTCATCCTCATAGGATATACTCAATCACATGCATAGTTCACGATTAATGCCACAAACACGAGAATTTCCCACCATCCGGTCACTTTGAACATGCAAACGTTGTTTGGAGCCCTCAAATTTTTGAAATTTGGGCATACAAAAGGCTCCAAGCAACATCTCACTCAGAAAAGCACACAAGTAGACTACCCCCTCCCCACTCTTAAACGCGGCATTGCCCTCAATGGCGTAAGAAAGGGATAGAGTGATGTTACCGCTTGGGCTTGGTGAGTGAGTGTAGGAATCAAACCAGGGTATGATAATTGAAGCTTCAAGGAGAGACAACAAAAAACACACACTAGCACAATACGACTCGGTCGATGCGAGTTTATTACAAGCACAATACATAGTAGTAGTAGTTCATGTTACACACACACAAATAACAAAATCAAAATAAAACAAGTTTACGGTTACAAGTAGAGAAGTGGGGCGAATGGACTCCGCTCTGCCACATGTCTCTCTCGTCGGCTACCTCTCTCTGGTGGATGGACCCTCTCCATCATCGGGTACGATACCCTGATGTCGAGCCATGCGCTCGAGGATGTCGGACTGCCGCACGAGGCGGGATGAGAATCCCATGAAGCTCGTCTCAAGGCGATCCACCCTCTCGACGAGGGGATCGCCTGCTCCTGGTGGTGGTAGCTTATGTGCAGGACGGGGGAGCACTGGACGACAGCGGCGTCCAGGTGCACGGGCAGGCGGCTGCTCTGCTGCTGGAGGGACCTCAGGTCGGGCTCCACTGTATCTGGTGATACTGCAGCTCGGATGACTCCGGAGCATCGGAGTCCATCGAGGTACTCCACTCCTCTCTTGCCCTGGAGTGTCAACTTCTGGTTGTACAATGTCTCCACTAGGAAGGGCTCCATCCTTCCTACGCTGGTGCAGTGAGCCAGATCCACTTGGAAGTGCCGGGCTATCCTTGTGATGATGCCCCCCATATGCATCGTGTCCACTCTGTTCCGCCCTAGACACCGGGCGAAAGAGGTGGCAATCAACGATCCCAGATGGATCGGCTCAGCTGGAATCCTCAACTAGTGGAGGGCAATGAGCCCTCTGTTCGTCATCAAGTGGCCTTATTGGAGGCTGGGGATGACGGATCTGGTGAGCAGAGTATGAAGAATCCTCCACTGGGTCTTCAGCTTGATAGCCTTGGTCTTGCTCCCCTCGAACTCGTTATGCTCGTGCTCTGGGCGGCAGAGGGCTCTAAATGCTCTCTAATAGTCGAATTCGACCATATACTGCCGCTCCGTCATCATCATGTGAGAGGTGTCGAGCCCCATGTCCTGAGCAAAGCCATCATAGGTCAGCACTCGCGGCTGACCGCCTAGCATGAACTCCACCCGGGGCCAGCTCTTCTTGCTTGCCAGGACGATGTGGGAGAAGGTGGAGTAGAACTCCACACACAGCTCATGAAAGATCTCCTCGTCCATGGTTAGGATCTGGCGCCACTGGGGATGGGAGAGTACCCCAGTCATGGAGGCTCGGCACCTGAACAAGTTAAACATGTCCAGGTCCAGCCGCCAGTGAGGCCCGATCAAACTGTCATTCTGGTAGGCGAACTTGCCGCCAAACTCCGGGTGGTTCACCAGGTAACTGATGAACTCATGCTCCAAGTTAAGCATCCTGCACAAAAACAAACACACACCATACGTGGAAACATCCGTCATACCGCTCATTGGGAGGAAAAGGAATTCCCCCCCCCCCCCCCACCCCCACACTTGTTTTTCCACCATGGCTAAAACATTTAAGCTCAAACCACCGTAGCATGGTTATGGGTATTTCACGGTTCAAGCACACAAAAATTAGAACCACAACTCCAACCACGGTGGCTACCATCAACCAATCGAAAACAAAATCCACTTGCATTCATAACATAGCACTTGGTGGGCAAATTCTAAATATAATCACAATTCGGTTCAAACACTCCCACCAAGCCTCACTAAGCTCATGCAA